ACAAATATGTGAAATGATACAAAACGTGAAATGTGGCTTTTCTGAAAAATATATTAATATGTCAGTTTACGTAACACTAAACAGGTGATTGTTCGACTGTGGCTTATGTCTGTGCAATTTTTTATTTTGCGCAGACACGACAGAGTGAAAGGAATGGGAGCATGACAACTTAATTTTATATCAAAATCTGACCATACTAAATTATATTACTGTTCCATGTCTATGCCAAATAATGACTATAATCAGATTTTCTCACAAATATGCGGTGAATTACTGGAATATATTTTGTTGCTAATAAGCAACGTGTAGAATTCCATAGAAAATATTTAGTCGAACAGTACTTTACCTATTGAACCTTTTTCTTGTCCCTTTTTTATAAAAATGTGTAGTTGCCAAGTACTAAATTCTATGTGTTTAGATATTCCATAAGCATTTATAATACATAGAATCAATTTTCTTGAATTCTTCAATAAACATTTTTACACGAGGCCTACCTAAGACTCTTGAATAAGAAGCCTTGAAGCTTTGGTTTAAAGGTCAATTAATCATGTCTTTAATCTTATCCGGTAATCGTGGAAAATATTAGTCGTATTTGGCGAGCGTATAAATCAGATTAACTTGAATAAAAATATAACTGTACAAGTTGTCCTCCACAAGAGCTAAGAGCTGTTACTTTTCATTTCAATCCGCTTGTTTTTCAGACTGATTAAAAAATCCTATAAGCTGGTGTTAATTGATATGGAAATGATGACAAGTCAAAAAATAACATTAAGACGCGGAGAAAACGCATTTGGTTGTTATATGTTTTGTTTTTGTACATGCTCTGTGAATATGATGGATATGGAATATAAATTGTAAACAACAAAGGATATAATTAAATACGGAAAATTATATACAATAAAAAAGTTATTGTTTCTAGGCTGTTAGGAAATAGTAAGGCATAAAGAAAATCCGAAGAATATTGATCTTTATACAGGGTGTACAGTACCAGTCCAAATTTCAAGAGATGATACCGCCTGTGAACCTAAAGAGGAAACTATTTATTAAAATGGGTCTGGTAATGTTTCGCGTTCGAGCTACAGGGTGTGTAAACCTTGCTTAAAGAATTCGTTAAAATCGTAATCGTAAGGCTTTCACCATTTCTATTAAAATTTGGTGAAATTTAGCAGATACAGGCGTATCACTGGATATTAAACTGAATAATAATAATAAAAATAATAATACTAATTACGAAAAATGCTTAAATGAAATTACCCAGCCATATGCTCGTAGATCACTAAATTTAAATTCGTTAACTTCTTCTTTGGAGTGTTTGAGTCTTTTTGACGCGTCTTTTTTATTCGATGTATTTTAAATTTCCAAAATTACATCTATTCACACGAAATGAAACAAATCAGGGTAAAGAATTATTATGATTTTGACAAAAAGTCTATATTTCGCAAAAAGTTTGCCGACACTTAAAAAATAACTCCCTGAGGTTTGGCCAGACCCTGTAGGTGCTCAAACTAATACTAGAACGATTGCCCTTAAAGCAGACCTCTGGCATCACTGGCTCTGCATTTTCTGATAATTCGTTACATACTAGTGTAAATAGTAGCTCAGGCATCCAGTGGCAGAGCGCACGCGCAACTAGCGTCACATCTAGCTTGTTGGTCCACATGTTACGATAGTGCCGCAATTTTCATTATTATCCCTAGAAGCAATCTCCTTTATTACTATTTTTTTTACATTACAATATCTTAGGTTGGTCTTTCTCATAAAATTGGTTCATTCAGATATTTGGTTAGAATTTTATTGGTTTTAAGCTACAACGAAAAAAATCTGTATCCATCTTAAATATATTCTGTATCTTTGCTTATTAATAAAGTCTGGATTGGTTTGGTATCATTCATTTTTACTAGGGGTTCTAACACCTAATTTTCAAAGCACAATTATGTAAAGTATCTGGAAACTACTTTTTTAGAACAATTTAAAATGAATCATCCTTTACATTACGAAATAAACATTGTATTGTATGCTTTTAAAACATACGTTCAACGGTTTTTCATTTTTTTTAATAGCAAAATTATCCACTTTTCAGCATTTCCTCTATAAAATTTTTAAAAAGGCCAGAAGGTTGTCAATAGCGTTTTTCTGTCTTGGATTTTTTACATCATCACCAATATGTTGTCACATAATTACATCACGGTCTGAGATATAGTGTAAATGTGGAAACATAAATTTTTCTGCTTATTGTTCATTTCAGTTATAAACAAACATGTTTTTTGCTTAGCCTGTTTCATTTGTAGTATTTTGAGAAATGATGCAAGTGAGTAAAAAGACATGATGGTCACGACATAACATATCATTTGGATTTGCAATACAATAAACTTACAACAATGAAATCAACAATGTTTCGTTACTGAATAAAACACTATTTTGATGAAATGGGTTGGAAAAAAAGATTAAATGACGTAAAACGGACATTTTACAAATTTCAAATCTGGGAAAGGAATTAGCCTAAAAACTCATATTTGCTAATTGGGTTGAGCTTGGCTAATTTTCGACAGTGAGAGGTTATCTAGATTAAAGCTTTGGACCGGCTTTCAGATTTCTTAGGCATTTTGAATTATACCTACAATCAGAGGAAGTGGTGTGATGTGTTTATTAAATTATAGAAAGGAGCATTGAGTATAGAATGATTTGAAACATGAAGAAATAATTTTTACCAAATGACTCACGCCATTTTTTTATTTCGCACTCCTTGTAGCAGTCGATATCGCAAATTGATATTTAAAACAGCTTTTTTACATATACATTTTTCATACATATAATAAGTGTGGATTTTATGAAGTATGCTGACATTAGCCTGTGCGGAATACTTTGAACCTTTTTTTGACACTATGATTTCTGGGTTTATCCTCGTTGGTAGCTTCAAATCTAGGAAACGACAGGAATAAAAACTATCCACTGGTGGATTTGGATGCATGACCGATTCACGCATTAACTATCCAACACCATCGATACCAAAAAAATTTGCCTGAACCCTATTTGTATCCTCCGTTACAGATAATTTCTATATTCGTTAAAAAAACAAGTTGTTCTTGCAGTGTCTGACATGTTCTTTAAATTTCTTCGGATTTTTGGGACATAGAGGTGTTAAAAATTGGTTGATTGGTTTAATTCAGCATTATAGTAAGAACCGGCATCACATTGTTTTTATTTTTTCATTTTATATTTAATGTTTTTCATAATTGACCTAAGAGACGTTAGATAAATTAACTTGGACCTTCATTAAGGCCCGTATCGTCAGTCGTCCCTACAATTGTAGGGCGCGTTTATGGCCTCCTTGATTGTTATCCTCCTTTCTCTCCTTCAAAAATTTCAAGATTACACTTGTCCCGTGTCAGCGTCAGCGCTCTCCTATTGTGAAGATATGTTTTCTTTTTAAATTGTAGGAAATTTCAGGCTCATAAAACATGATATAACTCAAAAGCAAGCACAATTTGATGCAAATTGATGTTTGTGACATAACCTCAAAATAGAGCGCTGACACGGAGAAGTAGAAAACTATGACAATCAAGGAGGCCATAAAGGCGCCCTACAATTGTAGGGACGACTGACGATACGGGCCTTATTCATTAACATGTAGTACGTTTTCGAAAACCTACGGTCGTACCGTAGCATAATCAAAATACTTATGCTTACAGCTATATATGCTGACCAGCATCTTTAAGCGCCAGCGTTGCCACCTCTCTGACTATTGTGTCGCAGATTATAGCATTTCCAACTCCATCATTGAGAAAATGACATATCAGAATACGAAATCTTAGAAATATCATAAGGGAGGTTGAGGTGTGAGCTTTCCTGTTTTCAATGATTGGATCCTACTTGGCAAACTTGACTGCGATCATGCGAATTATATTTCAACGTCCAGATACCAAAAACGTGAATCAATGCGGATAATGGTTTACTCAAAGACTGTTATCAGGCAGTACTCTTCGAACCAAACCATGCCGAGCTTTTTGCCTTCAGAGCCATAAGGATGTCTTGTGTAACCATAGACGAAAACTACAAGCATATCGCGAATTAGACGCACGATTAATCCTCAAATAAAGAATTATCTGTTGACAGTACCCGTGGAAGTTTTCATACCAAATCCATGTTACAAGACTACATAACGCTGAATAATAATGGGCCGTTTCCGTAACTCGTGACTCGTACGCATCTCAATGTTTACGATTCTAGGTCAAAATGCCCGCTCTTTCACTACCGTCGCACTCCATGCCCTCTTTCCCGCCTAAGCTCACCTGCTAACTTGAGCCAGATCCCAAATCCTTAACCAGCATTTAACTATCCTCCAGATGGCAACGTCACTGAACTTTCAAACACCATTTAAAAGTCACCGAAGCAAGCACGAAACGTCAGCTGTCACGCGCGGACGGTAAGTTCGCGTTTAGGTGCGCAGCGAGTTCACCGCACCGTGGCTCGCGAACGAATGAAGAAAGAAGAAAGCTCTAGCGGGTTCGCGATCACGTGACTTCCAACGGCCGCGAACGCTGAAGAGAACGGCAATGGTACCACAGAACAAGAAAGGATATGTAGTCGCCGATCGAGCTTCCTCTGCAATCTGCAGTTGCAGTCTATTGTTGCATCTCCTATGAAGACTAAAATAATATTCATCTTCACTTATTTTTTCGAAATATACATCGTACTAACGAGCCTAGACAAAAACCGGTCGGATTTTGATGAAATTTTCACACAAGGTTGCAATTGGTTCAGTGGCGGCGGAGTTAGGGGCAAAAGACAAAAATGTTGAAAATCGCTTTTATTTATTTTATATTTCAGAGGCTCTGGATCATTTTCAAAAAATTTGGTCGGGTCGCCGACGATGTTATGCTACCAGAACGATTATTTCAATAAATGTTTATTTAAGAGGGTGAGAGAAGAAGTAAAGATACCAAAACGTAAGAAAAGTGACTCAGGAGGTCCAAAATTTTAATTTTTTCTAATCACTAGTACTCATTCTACTCTTTGGTCTTACATCTAGGTACAAGGGTTTCCATAACCATTGAATAATAGAGACTCCAGAGTGTGCAACGCCATTCTACAAGTAGTGAAAATGCAACCATATTTCCATGCGCACTCACGACAGTTCAAACTTGAAAGTTCCGCTCCTATGGGACAATATTCCAGGTTGTCACAAGGCCTTGAAAATTCCAGCTGAAAAAGCAAAAATGTCATTATACTTCCATTTAAACTGAAGAGGACAGTCTGTTTCCTGATTGAAACTCCGGCTCAAGTTCGAGAATCATTTGGCATAAGGCATTGTCTTCGGCACATCCACCACAAATTCAAATTGATGTTACAAAAAAGGTGCAAGTACTACGTTCGCTAACCTTCCTGAATTACTGCTGCATTAACCCTCGGTTACGACTCATGGGTCTATGATACAACTGTAATTTGCAACAGTTGCTTAATTATTGTATGTACAAACTGTTCATAGAATAATTAATGTTGTGTCATTTTACTACATAGTATGTGTATCATTCTCTATTTCAATATTCTTAATTGTTCAAAAAATATGCTTTATAGAATGGTCAGATTGACTCTTGAGTAGTGATTATGTAAATTTTACTTTGGGTACACTCCAAGGATTGAATGAGCAAAGCCTCAATGTATCTATCGTTTGCTGAAAAAAATAGAAATTTCAAAAAAATTGCTTTAGGCTATCTTTGCAATATTTAAATTTTAGACACATTATTCGGTCATCTATAGCCTCATTCCAGTAATAGACCAATAATAATCAAGAGCCCTGTTACAAACGTTTATGTATAATGTATGCTTCGTCTCGCCATCAATAGATAACAGGACCATATAAGAGAAGGACACCTAGCTTGATCTGACATAATATATGCATACCAAGCAGACCCGCTGTTCGATTTTCGTCCGCCGGCGCGCATGACGTCACGCGGAGAGTGATTGTCATTTGGAATGATATAGATAACGTGCATATTTTCACCTACAGGCCAAACGGCTGGTCGGATTTTCACATATGAGGTGTCGTTGGATTCGTCTTAGCGGTGCGAGTGACACTAGCTACATTAAAATTTTATACAAAACAAAATGGTGGATTTTAATAAAAGATTTCAACCCTGTAATTCCTATTTCACAGTCTACAGCTTAAACGGCTTCTAGCTCCACAATAGAGCGTATTTTTCTACATTACCTATATTTTAGTTTGTTGTGTGGAGCAGGATTGACGTTCATGTCATAATACTGTACTACATTTATCCCTATTCCACATCCTAAGTACATGTAAGTGTGAAAATGTACGCAACTCGAAAAGTATAAAAATGGAGTTTTCTTCTTTTTGCAGTAAGGTGGTGGTATAACAATAAATGGAAATTACTTAGTCTAAGCAACAATTTTTTTTCATTTCCTTTTACGATTTTTCTAGTCTTTCAAACTTTTACTCAGTTCTTTGATCCGGAAGAACATCCTTGACCTGAAAAACAGTTTTTTAGCTTTTTCAGGGCAGTCAATGTTGCTGCTCTTCAACAGAAGTTCACCTATAAAATTTTGCTTTTTTGACACTATTCCGTCCCCATTGAATGTAGTGAATACCTTGTTCAGCTTCTCAATTTGATTCATGAAAGTTGCGGAAGGTTTTGATAATCCACCCTCACTAAGATGGTCTATCCCTGAATAAGTTTCATTTGAGGAACTTTTCAACCTCTCATCCTGCAATTTATTGCAAACAAAGCCGGCCAAATTTTCCAGCCCCTTATACTCGAGCTCATCTATTTCTTCCACTAAAACTTGCTCGATATAGTCAGCTGATACTTCAGGTGCATTCAGTTTATTCTCGTTAATGGTGCGGTTAGTGGTTAGTGGAATGTCTGGAGTATCCTCTGACTCTACGCTGCAATAGTTACTCTCAGTAGGCGCCTTCGTTTCGCCCCAACATATATGACCTTATTCTATACTTAAACTCTAGAGGACTATGGTCATGAAGACCATCTTTTGCCCTAATTACTCCGAAAAAGTTTTCTATCACATCTTGATTAAGGCGTCTTGTTAACAGGTATTGGACGCTGAAGCGTCGTTTCAGATCCCCTAGAGCAGCATTTTCTAGCACACCCTAGCGCTTTTTACATTGACTTTGTCTTATCTTTTTGTAAGATTTAGCCATTTTTTTGCTAAAGTTTGGGTCTTGAGCAAAACTGTGGAACTTCATGTCTTTGTAAAGATTCCGTTTAGATTGATTGTCAGAATTACATCCCACAACAGCACACCGCATTTTTATCAATTTATCAACCACACAGGGTATATAAAGTATGTATAACTAATACAACAAGTCACAAAACCACCAAAAAACACCAACAAATCGCACTATATAGTATTAACCACGATACACGTGAACTGCAGTAACGTTATGACAATCCTGCCGCTGGTAACCACGAGCCGATAACTCTCCGGGTGACGTCACGAAGCTCCGCCCACATGCGCAATATCCTATCTTCAGTGTATGTGTATCGTGAAGCACACCGTAGGTCTTCAGCAGAAGGAGCGAAAATCGAATCTTAACAGATTAGAACATAATTGAGATTGTGAACAGAAGCAAAGCTATAAATGTGCATTAATTATTTTGAGGCTAGCCTTGGACGTTTGTGTTTTTGAACATCAGCCATAGAGTAATTCACACCCTCCCTTACCTGATGGTTAGAATGGCTATCTGCTCTTGTATATGCCTTAGTTGCAAGTTCTTTGATAATCTCACTGAGGTCTGAGGGTGTAGCCTGTGATTCGAAACCATGTAACTTCCACGATGGATCGAAGAGCTCAATGGTAAATTACCTCTAGCGTATACATGCGGATCTTAGCAACAGCGGTGGCCGCAGTAGTAGACTCTTCGGTTTCCTGATCAGTCGCCGTGCGCTGTGCGGGTTCGAATCCCGTCCCAAGAGAAATGTTTCTCTTGGCTATGGATGTTGTGATTATCGGTAGGTGGTAGACGGTCTATGAATGTCGAACGCAAAGGTACCACCCGGCGGATCTCGTAGGCGGGGCCAGAATGTGTGCATATTGCATGCATACGTGTTCCTCGCCAGAGTCTGTGTGGCGTCCCAACTTTCCCCTGTTTCCCTTTATAGCCCCATGGTACCCATGGGTGTTTAGGCTTTAGGCCTTCGTGGTAGATGGAGTATAAAAAAAACTAAGCACCAAGTCGTTGTAGATAATGATGCCATAGTTTGTCGAATGCTTTTGTGCGATATCTACCAATCAGACACCACTACTCTGATTCCAAGTAATTCCGCAAGGGACCGTCTCAACCAATTTGATTGCCTGCCGCTAAGAAGAATGTTTTTTACGAAAACCGAACTGTTCCTGCGGAAGGATTTCTCCCTCCACAACCCCTCAAGAATTTACTATGAATAAATAATAGACTGATCGGGCGGTATTCTTGCGGATTTGCCGTTCTTCCTTTTTCTGATATCATTATTACATCTATAATCTCCCAATCATGAGGGAAATATTGAAAGCGAAGGGTAGCATTAAATAAATCCGAGATCGCTCAGATGGAAGTTTAACTGCTTTAGCTGTAATCTGATAACTTCCAGGTGCCTTACAGGTCTTAGTGGCATTGATATGATATATTGATCAGTTGTTCTTCATTCACGTCGATGTTGGCCTCATTTGGAGAGAATTGGCTCTCCATTACATCCCCAAAAACCTCGACCTTCTCCGCATCAAGGTAAACAATACCACTTGTTCCCTGGAGTGGGGGAACTTTTTGATTGTTTGACGACGTGACGCTTTTCACGAACCATCTGTATACAGTTGATTCTTTGAACAGTAGCCAAGTCGGTGTCCTTCGCTTGCAAGCTCATTTCTAAAATAATTGGAGAAGATGCAATTTGTTCTTTTGAATGTTTTTCATTCTAAAATAATTGGAAGGTGGTCGCTCTGCAAATCGTATGAAACCACGATGTCAGTGTCATAGTGACAATTCCTATATACCGCAAAATCTATGATGGCAGGCGAGTGCTCCGTATTGTACTCGTATAATGGGTAGGCTCGGCAGTAGTGTATATGAAGTAGTTACTGGTTAGGGAATGATTGTACATCCGAATCCCTGAAGTGCAGCTGCTTCCACGTGAGTTCCACGAAGTATGTTTCGCATTCCAGTCACCAGCAGCGATATGTGGTACTGGAAAATCTAACAATCTATATAAGTAAATAAGTTTAAGACTAAAACCATCATGCATATTGCCCAACTAACAATTATCACTCCTATTAGAGTTGCAAGAATGATTATAAAGTATTCCTTACACAGCATTGTATACTGTAAGAACATTGGCAAAACCCTCTTAGAACAGCTATACAAGCGGAATGGGCACACCTAATAGGACACTTCAGTTATTTACGAGGTTGTATAAGGGCTACAGGTAACAGTTATACAACAAAAATGTAAGCCTCTTGCAGCCGCTATAGAACATTTGCGTCAGTGCAAGATTCAGTTTTTGTCAACTATACAGGTGTTCTGTTACGTGATTCTACTTTATTGCAACCAAATTATTGAATTACTTGCGCAGCAAATTTTATTGTGATTATCGTGCAAGATAGTTACGCAATTTCTACGGGATTCGTATTTGATTCATATTTGGATAATGATCAAAAGTATATCTAGATTTTTAAGATGGAAAACTGAACTTATCTCCGTTAAATCTTCCACAAATCCTATATTTAGACACAATTACACTAATGTTTATCACTTTATATCTGTAATTTCGAACTGAAACATAATTATTTAATATTAAATAGAGAAATAAATGTTTGCCCAATATGGCGGGTGGTTGTGTTTAATCATGGCATCGTCCATGTTGACTTTAGGTTATTAGAATATTTTGGTGTTGCCTGCAGGTGTTATACAACAATTTGACAAATGTCGGAAATGAAATATCGACAGAGTCGAATGATTTACCTAGAATTTGTACCAGATCTATATCTTCTGTTTGATCAGTTGATAAAACCTTTTTAACCAATATGCATGCGTTGTTTGTCTTAAAACATTGGTTATGGCATTTTAACAAAAATATGACAGCATAAGGTTAGGTTATGGTGAAGTTGTATACCAACATATTTAGCATATATGTAACAGCGTTTTACAGTTACTAAACAACAGTTGTATAAGTGCTTCCGTTGGGAGCAATTTGTTG